CCCATCCCCATCCCTGCCAAACCAGCCCCACCCGCCACCACCACCGCCACCACCTACGCACCACCCCCGCCCCAGACCCCTCCCCCCGTCAGCATGTGGTTCGAGGACGGCTCTTATCGCCTGGTGGTGCCGGTGGCGTGGTGGGGCGAGGGCGAGGACGGCTTCTATGACAGTCCACTGACCAAGTGGGACCGCGCCCATTGGCAGAGGGTGGGGGATATTGAGGGGTGGCGGGGCAAGAGAGCGGCTGCTGCTGCCGCGGCGCGGCTCGCAGCCTCCGCATGGCGTTCACACACGCCTGCGAGGCCCGGGCCCGCCTGCAGAAGGCGGCCACCAAGGTCGCCCAGAGGATGGCCACATGGGCGAAGGGGATGACGGGCGGGTGGGCCGGCGGGGAGGGGAACTGATCATTCATGTGTGTGCTGTGCGTCCGTTGGTCGGGGGTCGTCCGTTGGTTGGGTGGTTGTGGTGCAGCCGGGGATAGCCTTGATGGAGAGCGACGCGCCCCCTCGCCCCCCTTCAGCCATCTCATCCCTCTGCGACCTCTACTACAGATGGGAGCCCTCACCTAACGGAAGCTCGAGTGGAACGTCCACTTTCCCCCTCACCACACACCACGCGGACCCACCCCAGCCACAGCCTGCGACAGCAACACAAACCAGCACTCAGGGCAGCGATCGAGACGACCAGCAGTATCAGGATGAGGGCGGGGAGCAGCAAACGCAAGTTGACATGAGGGACAGTGGCGCCCATGTAGAAGGGGCTGCAGAGAGTGAGGCGAGGAGGGCTGTGGTTGTGCTGCAGCCGGGTGGCAGCCCGCTGACAGGACAGGATGCATCTTCGCCAGCCCGCTGACCAGTTGGGATCACTCCCGCCGGCAGAGAGGGAGGGGGAGTTCATGTTCATCTCTGCCTACATTTTATATTGTGTTGTCTGTTGGTGAACTACACATTATATTATCTGGTTGGTTGGTTGATTGGTGTCCCGACCATGTGAAGACATAACGATGATGTGACGGGACAGCTCACTTGCGATACATCCAGCCGTGTGCGGTGCACTACAGATGGATGGCTCTCGTGTGTACCACGGTGGACAAGGTGGACAGGGTTGGGCAATCAATAAGCGTTTTGACGGACGGACGGACTGACGGACTTCTCATATCACCACACACACACCTACACATGCCTCCATCACTGTTCGTGCGGCAAGGCAACCCATCAGCAGATGTCTCCCTCCCTCCCTCCCTCCCTGCCTTCATCCATTCTCCCGGCCTTGACCTTTGCTCTCCCCCTCAATGTCAGCCCGCCACTCGTACATGTCACCGATGTCTATACCAGCAACCGACAAAGCCTCCTTGACCCACAAAGGAGGCACACCCGCCCCCTGCACGCCGCTGTTCCCCTTGCCCTCATCGGCCTTCTCCCCACTCTCGCGACCTGTGTCGGCGTCAGCAGCGACTTTCCGCTTCTTGGCTGGCGGCTGCTGGCCGTCAGGGTCGGCTTTGAGTGGGGCGGCGGCGCTGTTGCCCCTGCTCCTGTCTTTTGTCGCTGGGAAGTGGTGCTTGAGGAAGGTCCTCACGAAGTCGGGGAAGGTGTCGTTGAGGATGGCCTTGCGCATGGACGTCATGAGGGCCTTCATGTAGTGCAGGTTGTGAAGGGTCACCAGGTGACACGCAGTCGCCTCCTGATCACACACACATGCACATGCATCCATGACAGGGGACAGAGAGCGGTGTTTGTTTGTCGGCGTGTTGGGGTGGTAGCCCACTCACCTTGGTGACGATTGAGTGCAGGAAGGCTCGTGTGTAGTTCTTGCAGGTGTAGCACTCGCACCCCTCGTCGATGGGCCTGAAATCGCCCGCATACTCCCTCTGCTTCAGACGCATCAAACCTGCATCCAGCACGCACACACACGTGGCTCGCTCTCCTTTTCCCCATCGACACATGCACCCACCCCCATCCACCCCCACCATGTGTGACCATAGCAGTGCCGAATCTGGCCGTCCTGCACGGGTAGACGCAGTCGAACATATCAACACCCAACGCCACACACACCACAATGTCCACAGGGTAGCCCACACCCATCAGGTAGCGCGGCTTCGTCGCCGGCAAACCACTCTCGGGACGAGTGCACTGCTCACACACACCACACAGACAGACAGACAGACAGACAGTGTGATGTCCACCAGGCTGCCTGCGATGTCACCGCTCACCTGTTCGACAATCCTCCAAAAGACGTCTTTCTCCTCTCCGCCCGACAGCCCCCCGATGGCGTATCCCGGCAGGTCCCTCTCAATCATGCCCTTCAGCGACACGGCCCGCAGGTCCTCGTGCAGCCCGCCCTGCACTATGCCGAACAGGTTCTGCTCACTGGGCCTCGCGTGCGCCTTGATGCATCGGTCGAGCCATCTGAATGTGCGGTGGGTGGCCTCCTCCACTCGGTGACGGTCGGGCAGCGTGGCGCTCACCACATCGTCCAAAGCCATCATGATGTCCGCACCAATAGCATTCTGTGGGACCGATACAATGCACACACGTCATCCATGAGGGGGGGTTGTGCTTTGCTGTGCTGTGCTGTGCTGTGTGTCGGCACCTGGTATTCGATGGACTTTTCGGGCGTGAGCAGCATGAGTGAACTGTCGACGGGTGACTGGAACTGCACGCCCTCCTCGGTGATCTGCGCCAGCTTGAGCAGCGACACCATCTGGAACCCACCGCTGTCGGTGAGAAGGTTCCGCGGCCACCGCATGAACGAGTGCAGCCCTCCCGCCCTCTTGAGCACCTCACACCCCGGCCGGTTGCCGAGGTGGTAGGTGTTGCCCAGCATGATCTGGAAGTCAAGAGCTTCCATCTGCACACACGACGCAGACGACACAGACAGGCAACCATTGAGCTGATATGAATCGTTTCCCTCTTGCCTTGCCTGCCTGAGTGAGTGACCTGTTCCGACGTGATTCCCTTGATGGTGCCTTGTGTGCCGACAGGCATGAACACAGGTGTGTCGACAGGGCCGTGAGGGAGCGACAGCCGGGCAGCACGAGCCCGATGGAGTCTGCCTTGCACGGCGAAGGCGAGGGCGCGGCCGGGGGGGATGGGAGGCGCAGATCCGCCTCCCTGCTCATCTTCTCGAGGCCTTTTCTGCCCTCTCTGGTCCAGATCCATCTTCGCCCACGCCCCTTCCAAAACCCTTCGGATCGAAGTCATTGCACTGTTTTTTCCAGGTTCTCGGCTTTTGTGTATGTGTGTGAATGCGCGAGACCTTCACACTCATCTGTTGACATCCAGACGTCGATGTATCTGGCATTCACTTCGTTCGTCAGACCATTCTCACTCAGTCACTCAACTGGCTAGCCTCACAACAGGCTCGCTTACTCATGCATCGCCCCGCCCGTCCCCAGCTTACTCACACGCCCATCCATCCATCCATCCATCCATCCATCCATCCGCACCCACATAGCATATAGCCCGCCAGAGACATCGACAACCGACAGAAGAGCTAGCTTAGCTGTATGTACACAACACACTGATCTATCTAAAACCAAGGGGCATCTATCTCATCCTTTGCTGTACAAGCCAAGCCACGCACCAAGAAAAGCCTACAACGCGTCAGCCAGTGCAGTGAGTGCACCAGCCCATCTAATGTATCTACGACAGCCCAGCCAGCCCTCTCTCCCCTGCCTGTTCATTCATTCAGCTGGCTGGCTTGAGTCTCTTTACGTTGACACACACCTCATTGGACCTCAGCCACGGCAGCTTTTGTGGCCCATTGTACATGTGCAGCCGGAAGGCGTCGTCGTCAGCCACAGCAAACACCCCATCCCTGGCTATCTCCACCTTCAGCTCCTCCAATCGCCGCTGGATCTCATTCTCCGTCGCAAATCCAGCGAAGCGCAGGACAGCCACGGTCTCTGGCAGCCTCTCTTGCACCGACACCGCAATGTCATATGGCTCCGGCGCACGGCCGACCTGCTGATACTCGGATGGCAGCACGAACGTCATGTAGAGGGCACCTTTCCGCGTCCTCTCTATCATGATTGGTGTCGTCAGGTCCATCACCACGCCGCCATCAGTGTCGGTCGTCGCTGTTGGTGGCTTGGGTGGTCTCTTGGCAGGGATTTGGGTGTCATTCATCATGCCCATGGCGCCAGAGTAAGACGTTCCGTTGGATGCTGCGGTGGTGGACGCGCCGAGGGGGACGTTGTTGCCCAGATAGTAGGCCAGCAGCTTTCCCAGGGCCGTGCCGGTCGCGAGGAGGTCTGTCGTGATCTTGCCTGGCGAGACCCGCCCCATCTTGACGCTTGCGATCGAGTATCCGCTGTAACGCCTCACCTCGTACTCATCAACCTGCAGACAGACAGACAGACAGACAGACACACCACACCACACCACACGCACACGCACACGCACACATGAATGAGCGAATGCATCGCGGCGGATACGCATTGCATTCATTCAGATAGTCGGTCCTTGTTTGTTCTTTCATACCTTCCGTTCCAGTGAGTATCTGGGCGTTTCTATCCCCTGAGGCGTCCGCCTGAGTGCGTTCTTGCCCTCCCGCAGCAGAGGGGCAAGGGGAAGGCCACGTCGAACAGCACGCAGCGACCGCCGCATCAACGGTGGCAACGACCGTGCCACTGACTGAGACGCGGTAGGGAGTCTCGCCACCACCTTGGTGGTCAACTGGGGCATGTCGGAGGCCAACGTGGGCAGCAGGTCACGCAGCACCTGTCGCCGTAACGCCCCCAGATCCCGCCGCCGCGGCACGGCGCCCAACAGAAGCGACACAATCTCACTGCGGATTTCAGGTGCTTGCTTCAACAGATCCTGTAAGGACGGACACGCGGTGTAGGGCGTGCCGTGCGTCAGTGGATGTGTGGTTTGCCTTGCGTACATACCTGTGCTAGCACCGATCGCTGGCTCATGGTGGTTGCTGGCCGCAGGAGGTGGTCTATCTTTTCCTCCCACGACATCACTGACATGACGACAAGGCAACACACATGGGTGCGGGCGGAGTGCAAACCACTGCCAGCGGGAGGTGCGCGTGTCACCCACCTGTGGCGTCGGGTGAAGCCAGGGGCGCTGCAGATTGCTGGTCCGGTGCAGAACGCAGACGAGTGAGCTGCGACATCCTGTCCGGCACATGCAGCAGGAAGGCTGACCCTCCGAAGCCTGCAACACGCAAGTGCATGGAAGATGCACGGTTCCCCTTCCCCCTGCCGTCTGTCTGTAATCCTCACCAGGCCGATGTGCAGTCCTCGCTGCATGGGTGAGAGAGCGGGTGGAAAAGAAGCAAAGGACCAGACAGACAGAGATGGAGATTCGCATATGGGCTGCCATATCGACACTGATGCCGCTGACACGCGGGAGATGATGATGGCGGGATCTTGCAAGCTCGCCTCGAAGCTGAGCTCGCGGATGCGATGACTCGTCCGCCGCAGTCTTTCTCCATCCAGATCTCTCATCTGCACCCATCTATACGAGTTGCTTCACTGCAGCGGCTTTTCCTTCTGTCTGTCCTCGTTCTCGGTGTTCAGAGTGTGCCCAGCCGCCAGACCCACAGATCTCCGCATCGGCATGAACCGCTGAGCCGTCGGGTAGACAGCCCTTCATCATCAGCCGCCCCGCTATCTCGTGCTTCTGTTGCATGGATGCGTCCATCCATCCGCCGCTCTCTTCTGAGGTCTATTAGTACTGCTCCGTCTGATCAGAGGCTCATCATCAACAGAAGGCCGGCGGGGACAACGCGGGGATTTTCCTCATTCGTCGCTATGAGTGCAGCGGCTGCCACCGCGGCTGCCGAGCTTCCCTCGGCCAATGTGTTGTCGTCCGAGAAGAGTCCCTATCTGCTGCAGCACGCCCACAACCCCATCCACTGGTACCCCTGGGGCAGTGAGGCCTTCGCAAGGGCGCAGCGGGAGGACAAGCCGGTGTTCCTGAGTGTGGGGTACAGCACCTGCCACTGGTGCCACGTCATGGCGGAGGAGTCATTCGAGGATGCTGAAATCGCAAAGTTCCTCAATGAGAACTTCATCTCTATCAAGGTCAGGAACAGGCAGCTCTATCAGCTCGTGGGAGCGTCAACACCTAGTGCGATGTGTTTGGCTGGCAGGTTGATCGCGAGGAGCGTCCTGACGTCGACAACACGTACATGCAGTACATCATGGGCTTCACAGGGAGGGGAGGCTGGCCCATGAACGTCTTCTGCACACCACACGGTAGGTACAAACACTGGTAGATCGATCAGATAGATCAGCCGACCACTTGAGATGCATGGGATGGCCATCGTCTGTCTAGTCATATCCGATGGATGCGATGCGATGCATGCTGCGATGCGCTAATGTAATCCAGGCAAGCCGTTCTTCGGCGGTTTGTATTGGCCTCCCGCGGACAAGACGGTGGAGTCGACAGGCCCCGACGGCGAGCTGCGCAGCACCGTCCGGATGGGTTTCCTGACCATACTCACCAAGATACTCGACGTGTGGAACAACAACAGGGACAAGATTGAGGATGACTCCACCGCCATTGTGGATGCTCTACAGCAGGTGAGGTGCCTACACTAACTACATGAAATGCATTGACGAGCGGAGAATGGATGAATGAGCTATGGATCTGATCGTCTGAGTGAGTGAGTGCTATGTCATTCATGTCTGTGCTGTGTGTGTCATGTACGTCAGGCTGAGATGCGGGGCAACTCGAAGACAGCCTTCGCGGAGACCCTGGAAGACATCGTCAAGTGAGTGCATTGATGGCCAGCCATCACACACCACACATCCGTGCCATCTCACTCATGTTGTCCCTTGTCTGTCTGCCGTGTGTGTGTGGCCTTGCCTTGCAGCATGTACAAGATCCACGTCTTGTCATCCGAGATAGAGGAGGCGTTCGACACCCAATGGGGGGGATTCGGCCCAGCGCCCAAATTCCCCAGACCAGTGCTGCTGCAGTACCTGTTGCGTGTGTACTTCCGGCTTTCGTCCACCCCAGCAATGAGGGAAGACCCCGCCACTGCCGAGAAGGCGGCCAAGATGCTGCACATGGTGACCCACACGCTCACCAAGATGGCGCAGGGCGGCATGTACGATCACCTGGGTGGCGGCTTCCACCGCTACTCGGTCGACCAGATCTGGCACGTCCCCCACTTCGAGAAGATGCAGTACGACCAGAGCCAGCTCGTCGCCATCTACACCGACGCCTACAAGATCCTCAACAAGGAGGGGGCGAGCAGGAGCACCGAGGCAAAGCTGTACAAGGGCATTGTGCAGGAGACCATCGCCTATGTGCTGCGGGAGCTGCGGGACACCAAGGGTGGCTTCTACTGCGCACAGGACGCCGACAGTGTGGCGGCCAGCGGCGAGCACAAGGGAGAGAAGAAGGAGGGCGCCTTCTACGTGTGGACCAGACCACAGGTCGGGGGGAACGACCAACGGCGGGCGCTGCGGTCGGTCAGGACCTGACTGACGTGCGTGTTGGTCGACTGGGTGGAATGCAGGTTGTGGAGGTGCTTGAGGGTGCGTCTGTGGACGGCCTGAGTGCTGACGATCGCCGGGAGATGATCGACCTCTTCTGCCACGTCTTCGGCATCACCGACGAGGGCAACGTTAAGCCATTCAGCCAGGTGGGCAAGGCACTCACGAGAGAGCGACATGGATGGCACCACATCATTTCCCTCCCTGACGTGACGTCCGTTGTGTTTAACAGAGCGACCCCATTGGCGAGTTCAAGGGGCAGAACGTGCTCTTCCAGAACGGCTCCTTCCCGTCCCTGGTGGAGAGCTTCTACGAGCAGCGGGAGAGGGAGGCCGACATGGACCGTGCCAAGTCGCTCATCTCGACGGCTAAGTCGCTTCTCTTTGCGCACCGCAGGGGCCGCCCCGCCCCTGGATGTGACGACAAAGTGCTGACCGGATGGAACGGCCTCATGATATCGGCACTGGGTATTCCAGGAAACACCACACCGGCCGCGAGAACGAACGATGGAATCAAAAGCGCACCTGTGTTGTGTGATGTGGTGTGTGTAGCTGGTGCGCATGGCGTGGTCGAGCCCCCTTCTGGCCAGCCGGCCGATCTCTATCTCACGCGAGCCATAGAGGCGGCCGACTTCATCCGCACACACATGATGGAGAGGACCACAGTGATGACGACAGTGGGGGGCAAGGAGAGGCCAGCCGAGGTGCTGCTGCTCTACCGAGCCTACCGGGAGGGCCGTGGTCGTGTGTTGGGTTTCTGCGACGACTATGCATTCTACGTCCAGGCCCTGCTGGACCTTTATGAGGCCTCAGGCGGCGACCTGCAGTGGCTCAGGCTCGCCAAAGAAGTCCTCGAGTCACAGGTGCGAATGGATGGATGGACACAGGACAGGGGACGGGTGAAGGGGGCGGAACAGACCAGTGAGTGCAGTGCGGGATATGTGTGTGTGTGTGTGTGTGTGTGTGTTGAGGCAGGTTCTCCTGTTTTGGGATGAGGAGGGAGGTTTCTGGAGCGAGCCGCAGATGGCATCGTCCTCCCACGCCCCCACGACCACCACCCTCACCAACATCACCGACCCCTCCAGCCCCCTGGGCGTCTTCCTCAGGACCAAATACGTCTACGACGGCGCGGAGCCGTCGCCCAACGGCGTGAGTGCAATGAATTTGCTGAGGATGGATGCACTGCTGCAGCGTCAGGACAAGCAGGGGGTGGAGCACGACAGCCCATACCTGAGGAAGGCCAGGCTGCTGCTGGGCACCCTGTTCGAGAAGATGCCTGGGGAGGGCATGCCGCAGATGTACGTGGCCGCCGACTGGCTCACATGGAGAGATGAACTCGCCATCAAACAGGTCGGTCGCTGCAGCCAGCCATGCATCCATCCATCCATCTGATCTGCCCTGGGCAAGGCCAGCACATCCCTCACCTCCACGTGTGTGTCTCGCCTCGCCCGCCTCAGATATTGTTCTTGGGTGACCAGTCGTCTGTTGAGGCGCTCCATCGGGCGTTCAAGTCGCGGTTTCTGCCCACGAGTGTGGTGCACTTCATGACGTCGGGCGAGCAGAGGGAGTTTTTTCGCGACGCGACGCCGCACCTGACAGATGAGGAGGGTGGTGGGGATGTGAAGCCCCAGATGGTCGTGTGTGAGGGCCGGACGTGCCAGCGGCCATGCATGACTGTCGACGATGTACATGCGCTGCTTGACAGATAGATAGGGATGGCTGGCTAAGGAGGGAGGGAGGGAGGGAGGGAGATTGATGGGATGGACACGACACCTACTTGATTTGACTTGGGACGCGTAAGTGAGTGAGTGATCGAGATACCTTAAGCTGCTCGCACGATAGACAGCTTCATGTCGAGGCCAATCAAAGCTTTGACGTGTAGTCTTCTCATAGTATCCATGCCATGCTATGCACTCATTCGTTCCTTACACAACACACCACACCACATCACATGTACAGGAAGGGAGAACAGTAGGTGTCCAGTGGCCAGTAAGCCAGTCATCCATCGGTCATGTCATGCAGCCAAGGAGGGGTCAATCGGATGCATGGCATTGCAGGCAGCGGGCGCGGCAGGCATAAGCAAGCCACATTTGATATAATTCTGAGTCGTTCCGGAGCTCGAACGAAAACAAAAACAAGACAAACGTAAAGCGAATTCCAACGGTGGAGGGCCCGCGACTCGAGCCGACGTGACAGAGCGAGACATGCATGGAGTGCGGTGAAGCAAGAAAAATATGGAGCGAGGGAGGGGAGGAAGCTGTGTGGTATAAAACTGACCATCAAGCTAGAGACCCCTTCCAACAACAAACAGCAAGCCGTTGTGCGAGTGAGGGTGGCTCACTCAGGCCTTCACAACCGCTCGCTATCCGTTGAATCGCGTGTGTGCACCTTCATGGACATGGAATTGAAACAAATAAGGTCTAGGTTTCCTTCGTCTCGTGGATGGGTGGGATGGATACACGGGAGCTTCAGCCAATTCAGCCAGCCAGTACAAAAGCGTCAACCAAAACACTATGGTCCCTCCCTCCCTCGTATGTCATGTCATGTCTCCCGGAGCCTCGTGGTACATACTTCATACTTACGAAGCAGCAAGCACACACAGCGACTCCACTCACGTGTGCTACATGTAGGAGCGTTCCCTTGTCACTACCAAAAACGAATGTCATGACCAAAAAGCGTCACAACAATCAATCAATCAATCGATCACCGCAGGAAATGACTGACGCACATAGGTACGGGTGGACACCGGACTGGCCGCTTCAAAAAGGTGCTGGTTCCATCCTCTCTCGTCAGCGAGCCGTGCGTGGTGGGCAGTGAATGCCATGCCATGCCATGCCATGCCATGCCATGCCGTGTATGCCCCCTTAAACTCAACACGGCACGCACAACACACACACGCACGCGCACACATGCACAAGCAGATCTTCCCCCCCCCCCCGGCA